TAGAAGAAGAACTTTATTGCACAGCAATACTATTGTACATGGTACAATGTATGGTAGCAACTATTGAACAGAGTAATGCAAAATGGATGTATTATGAATAATAGAATAAAACTTAGCATCCTAATAATTAAAACAATAAAGTCTTTATACAGTTTCGTGTATCGAGTGGGGCTAATCATGAGTTTTGGTATTCTTTTAATTTTTGCATTGTGGAAGCTGTTGCATCTAAATTAAGTTATATTTCAAATCTGTCTGTAACACCTAATCTGTTGGAATTGAATACTTAGTCTAGTAATGTTTTGATCGAAATCATCATAATTTTGGCTACTCCGTAAAATTCTTCCTTGAAGTTGATAAAACACAGGTTGCTAGTTTGGAATTCAAGGGCATAAAAAAGAAAAATTTTAATTTAGATTCTGCAAAATACATTAATTTTCAGTAACTATGAATATTTTGACAGAAATCAATGACATCATCATCTTGGCTAGTTCTTCTGGATTTGTCCCTAAGAAAATGACAGGAAAAAGACATCATAATTCAGAAGCAAATGTGCTTGTTTGACTGTAGAGGGTGCAACATGTGGCATTGGCATGAGAAATATAACTCTCCAAAATGAACGTGACTGGTGTTTAATGTTCTTCCATTTTGACCTAACACGTTAAAGAGGTATTACTACTAAATAATGTTCCACAGATTTCTGCACAACAATCAACCTATCAGCACAGTTAAATGTGCAATGACCTTGTCCTTTTCAACAACATTTCTACAAACCCTCCCCTAACACTGCCAGGTACAATGTGCTGTAACATTGGGCAGCTGGAGGGAGCTATCAGACACATTAAGGCCACACCAACTTAATTTTATAGATGACATCCGCGCGTGCATTGATTTTCGCCTGCTCTCTCTCTCTCAAAAAAAAAGATCACGTCCTCCAATGCTCTGGCCTGGCTCTAGGCCTAGGTACTTCATGGTATTTAGCGACAATACAGAGGTGGTAACTCTGGAGGTCGGCACCCAGGCTACCGAAGCTCCACAACTCAAGAACTCAGTACATACGTACAGTGTCGACTCATAAATTCCGCAAAAAGCCAGCATGTGCCGGCTTGTCGTATACGTCGCTAAATACTGCCTCAAATTCACAATACCAGCTTTGTTTTCCTGTGAGTTTAGTAGCATTTTTATTTTTTGCTGGATTTTTTTTATTTGCCTGCGTGCACTAGTTTGTGTGTCTTCAGAGGATGTCATCCATAAAATTAAATTGGTGTGGCCTATATGGTTAGGCCATGTTGATTTGATTATATGGATGACATCCTCTGGGAACCCCAAAACTGATGCGTGCGTGCGAATAAAAAAAAAGTTTTGCAAAAAAAAAAAGTTGCTTTCACTATGAAATCTACGTGGTCATGAAGGTTGAACAAATGGCACAGAATACATTGTATGTTATGGCGAATAATCTACTCTTCGAATTCATTTCTTTACATTTTTGTCTTTTTTCCTTTGATTTTGGCATTCTACGACATTGGTATCGTTTCCAAATGTTTTCCTTGCAACTTATGGTATATTTTTGCTCATTTAGCAACTGTTTTGCACGATTTACAGTATGGTTGAAAACTTTTTTTTTTGTGGAAACGGCCGAAAATTAATGCGCGCGCGGATGTCATCCATATAATCAAATCAACATGGCCTTAGTGTTGTTAGTGTTGACTTACTGGGTGGAGCCTGTGGGCTGCCTGAGGACCCAGGGACAGGACTGTGCCTGCCAGTCTGGGTCTGTTCTATCTCATCCAGACCTGCGCTCTTGTGGAAGCGACTGGCCCTGTTCACCACCCGCGCTGAGGTGTGTGTCCTTACACTCACAGGACCTGCGATGAAGAACAGTAATGTTTACTTATCATATAGTAACTAGTAGCTAAATTAAATAAATAAATAATGTTTTATTGCAAATTCATGCCCGGGGGCTAATTGCAGGAACAGAAGAAACAGATTGAAGAAACAGAAGACAATTAGCACACGTCACATAGAAATACTGATAACTACTAAGAAACTACTAGTAAAAACTACTGTGTTTGACTTCTTTTTTGAAGACAAAGGATCCCACTTTTTCTGTAATTTGTGGGATTTCGGATGTTAAGAGGAGAGTAGTTTTCATTTGTGTATGTGTGAAAGTTTGGGTAGAATTTGGAGGCTACAAGGTGATTCCAGGTTGCCTATTAAAGAAGTTTTACAGACTGAGTATGGTATATGGTATCAATGATTTTGTTATTACTGTCTTTCTGTAGCTAGCTTTAGCTTCAAAAAGAAGAAAGCAAGTTGGTTTAAGCATGATTTGAGTACAATGTGTCTCGGCATTCTACAAATTAGTACAAGTATGTCCAGTAGACCAGTGTTTACCTCCATATGTGGTGACAGGGAAGACATGTGTTGTCCCCCTTAGTGTACTGACTGCCACCCACCGACTGTCCAGGGTGAAGGAAATATTCTGCACCTGTGGGTAACATTTCATCATTGATGAATAAACAGAAATTTTACCAGCCCACTGTACAACCATGTACATCAACTCATTTTTCTTTCATATGAAATCCACCCATACATTGACATCCTTACAAGATAATGCACTTTGGGCAAATACCACTAGAGGTCTCTGCTGTAAACGTGGTTGGAAAAATGGTGCAGGTTTCCACAACTGACCTATACTGTTTACACCAATCATCATGATGGTGTGTAATGTATTCAACTGAGAGCATTGGACAGGTGCTTTCCTTACTGCACTTTGCCACTCAACTGCTAGGTGGCACCACTAAGTGGCAGGATCCATGCATCTACAGTACATGTTACTTTTAAATTAGTTCTGACCTTGGCTGTGGTGTCTCCCCTGTGTAAGCAGTACAGGTGATGGACAGCTCCTTGTGATGAGCTCCAGGGATGAGGAAGAATTCTGTAGGGAAAACATTGTTATCAAGGCCATGTTTTTGACATCATTTGGCCATGTTGATTTGATTATATGGATGACATCCACGCGCGCATGAATTTTCGGCTGATTCAAAAAAAAAAGTTTTCAATCATACTGTAAATTGTACAAAACAGTTGCAAAATAACAAAATATGTACCATAAGTTGAAAAAAATATCGGAAAATGATACCAATGTCGAAGAATGCCAAAATCAAACGAAAAAGACGAAAATGTAAACAAATGAACTTGAAGAGTAGATTATTTGCCATACCCTACTCTGTGTCATTTCATGTAGATTTCATGTTGTAAGCAACTTTTTTTTGGCCAAACTATTCTTTTATTCGCACGCTCGCATCAGTTTTGGAGTTCCCAGAGGATGTCATCCATATAATCAAATCAACATGGCCTTATCAGGCTTCAAAACATTCTGAGATTTCAGACCTCTGTGAAGTATTTTGCATCATCGTGATCTTCAAGTTCACCCCATATCCTGAAACCTTTAGATCTTTTGTTATTCTGCCAGGCAATCTTCCCCTACCCACGTGCTGTCAACCTACTCTGTCTAGACACACAAACCCACAGCTCAGCCACCCAAAACAATACTTCCATACCCTGAAGTAAAAAAAAAGAAGTGGAAATCTAATGCGATGAAAAATCATACTGTATCATGATGATGCTAAAGGAAGAACTTTGATCAAATAATATCTTTAAAAAAATGTATTCGACAAACAGCTGCAGCTGTACCTGAACATGTGGAAGGTGTGTCCCAGGACATCTGCAGTGACCAGCAGCTGACCGCTGGGGTCAAACTCCATGGCTGCGATGGGTTCTCCGTTGTGTGCGGGGAAATGGGCCACAAACGCAGAACCGTCATTGTCGTCTTGTACATTCACCTGCTTGAACAAGTGGTTCAAACAATCAATTCTCCTATGATTTATGTTTACCTTGAGTTCGCAGAACAAAAACATTTTTCGTTCTGTTTCTTCTTCTCCAAACATAGAAGGTCAATGACCTGGACCAGACCTCTGTCACCATGGTAATTGGTGCTATAGAAGACACCATGTGGTGTTGCATGTGAGGGTAAACATTATGCACTTGCTTTGCAAACATTACCTTTCTATTTTCACTTTTAATTCAATTTCTAATTTGCAAAATTCATTCCTTTAACTTTTACACAAAGCATTTTTCTCATTAAGATTATCTGTTTTATCTAAACTTTTATCAGACATGTGGTTGATTGATTGATATCACTAAACTGGATAGTGAGGGAGTGAGTGAGTGAATGAGTGTGTGAGTGAGTGAGTGTGTGAGTGTGTGAGTGAGAGAGTGTGTGAGTGAGTGAGTGAGTGATTGATTGATTCCGTGAGTGAGTGTGTAACTGAGTGGGTGAGTGAGTGTGTGAATGAGTGCGAGTGAGTGCGTGTGTGTGTGTGTGTGACTGAGTGGGTGACTGTGTGGGTGAGTGAAGAGTGAGTGGGTGGGTGAGTGAAAGTGATTGAGTGAGTGAGTGTGTGCGAGTGGGTGAGTGAGTGAGTGGGTGAGTGAGGAGTGAATGAGTGAGTGACTGAGTGAGTGATTGAGTGATAAAATGAACATAGAGACCTCTCCTTCAGCCACCACTAGAGTGTCCACGACAGTGATGATACCAGGGACCAGGCCTGCCCTGTTTAAGGTTGTTTTGGAGGGACTGGTGCTCTTGACTTCTGAAGGTGCCTGGGCCTTGTTTCCTGTCAATCTACCCACCGTCTCACCAAACATCGACAGCCCTTTGGTGATGGTCTGTAGAAAAAAAGAAAAAAAACAAGACAACATGTTAGCGAGGAGGTGTTAGCTGATATCACAGTGTGCCATTCATTACTTTTGGGATGGGAGTATTGTTTTGAGTGGCTAAATCAAGTTAGGTTTGTATGTTTGGGTTCTAAAGTGATTCGGAAATATAGGGTTTAACTGATCAGGCTTTTGACCTGGCATGACTTGTTGTTTACTTGTACATAACATGTAACATATATAACACTATACATGTACAGTACGAAATACTATATTCCTTACTCATTATCTGTCATTTCATTGCTTCAAGGGTTATTTTTCTGGAACTTTTTGCTTATTTTGTCTAGTGAATTTTGTCAGGTACACAGTAAGTGATGATTCAAAAGCAATAGAAGGAGAGGAAGCGTTCATTCCACACACAGAACGGCAATATTGTGCAGTATTTGTGCATATGAATGTACAATCACTGACTAATTAAAAGAAGAATGCATAATACTCAAGCTACAAAACTGTGTTTGGCAAATTGTATCATAGCAAGACAAATCATAGCTTGGTGCATCCAGATTGATCTTTTTTTTTTTACAACTGTAGCACTTTCTAAAATCATGATCATTGAAAGAAATCAACAGCATAATCTCATGACTGCTACGCACAGTGTATAACTATAATACATGAATCACACAGAGCTGCGGTGGGGAGGGGGGTGGGTGCTATCTGTGCTGTGATGCCCACAGTGCCAACAGCCTCTCACAACCAGGGAAAACATGGGATAGGGTTATAGGATGAGTTTTTACAATGCAGCAACAAACATCATGCACACAGTAAATTGGACACCAAGGAACATATAGAAAGGACTGCATGTAGATGTTCAAACTGTGCCAGAAATGTCGAACATGAGTGTTTGACTCGATAGTATGACTATTTTGCTGCAGTGTGTTATGTAATATTGGAAAGCGTTGGAAAAGGTATAAAATTACTGTTTAAACTTGATAACAGTTAGTACTTTGAAATTGGAAAGATGAGAATTCTGGACGTCATTAACATTAACATGAAAAGAAAAAGAATTTATTTTACACTCTACTGGGCAGTTTGATGTGACACTACTTTTCATATCACTTATGTGACACTTTTTCTGACACTATTTCAAGTTTTTGGGTTTGCTGAATATTGAAATTTGATAAAGTGATAAATAAAGCTTTCGTCAGTCTTAATATGATTATTAGTGGTAAAGTTACAGTACAGTTCTGAAGCCCTTTCTTATATTATTATCATGAACATTTAAGACATACACTAGGATGTAGTTAAAGAGATACCAGACAGCACAGTAAGTTTAGTTGCCAAACATATGATCAGAAATACAACACATAACACTTTACAAAAATAAGCATAAGCATGCACATACATATGAGTTTAACATAGAGAGAGAGACTGGGTTCTAGCATGCAACACAGAGTGGACAGAATGGTTATTTACAGGAGTAGTAGTAGTGTAGCGGGAGCTAGTGAGACCTGGTACGAAGGAGGAGCCCAGGGATAGGAGGTGTCTGAGAGAGTCACAGCACAGATAAAACCCCCATGACACTGTCTGAAATAGAAGACACAAACACTGACCTTCAGCAAGTCGTTAAAAGGCATCCAGTGTAATTTTATGGCCTGGAAACCTGATTTTTCAAAGTCAATATTCTAGTCACTTATCTACATACTGAGTTGAAACCACACTATCCCAATGTATATTGACCCTCATGGAGCAAAAATTCAAAACAATTTCTGACAGAAAATGGTTACTGGAAGGGCCCTGGGTTGATTTTTAGGGTACCACTTAGAAAATAAAGGACTCATCTTGGAGCTTGTTTCTTCAGTTTTAAATACCCAAAGTATGAAATAGTAATTGAAATGTGCTAATGTGAAGCAGTATGTATCAATATCAGAAATATTGCCTTATTCATAATATTTCCAGTTTTGCTGCTCTGAAATCACATTGGATACATTTAAAAGGAATTTTTTCCACAGTTTTTTGTGACCCTTGAGTGACAAGCTTAATCGTATTGTATGTAGCCAGTCTGGGGAATTTTTACTATTTACATGCATACGTACAGATCGCGGGATAAGCATCATCGGGATTCGGGATTTTGCGGGATATCCCGCGGGAGTTTGCGGGATATCACGCGGGAGACTGCGGGATATCCCGCGGGAGTTTGCGGGATATCACGCGGGAGATTGCGGGGTATCCCGCGGTATTCTTTCGGGAGGCCTGTCGTGTCCCGCGTACCGCGTAGCGAAAAAACTTGGTGCGAGACCCCGAAGTCTACCGCGGCTCGGAACGGCGATGGCGGCGTGCCAAATGTTTATTTTTACGTCCTGCCGGGCGATCTGTGCTGGGCCGATGGAGTCTGACGCCAGTCAACTTTGCTACAATTTTGCTACAATTTTAATGGTGTTGAAGCATAAGAATGTACGAAAATACTGTGTATAAGGTATTTCTCACGCGGTCATAGTTATTATAAAACTGCTACTTTTTTTTCAAAGCTATTGTTCAGCGCAAACTTTAAGAAACTACCGTGAATGAATACAATGTAACGAGTAGTAATCCCTCCGTCTCCGGTAAATTCGGCAAGATTGTTACCAAGAAATAAAAATTATGAGGCGTACCGGCAGTAGTTTGTGGTTGTTGTGTTTCATAATCTTGTAGCTGTTGTCTTCTCATGGTAGCTTGCGTCAAGAGGTCTCCGTATTAGTATTAAGAATTGCGACAATTAAAAGTCTGCCCATCAAAATCCCGGGGCGTGCGTCTCCCCCCTCCCCAAAAACTCTTGCATCAACAACGACCATGTCCATAATTAATTTCGATCACCCTGAAAGCAAGGAGCAAGTACTTCCACACGGCTGGCAAAGTTTCTTTCGGTAGGAAAACATTCTACTTCTGTCAGCTGCAGGGTCAGCCAACTAGATGAAAACGGAGTCGATAGCGCACGTCCAAGACACGGGAGAACCCGAAAAATAAATAAACACGGGAGAACCCGAACTAAACGTGTTTATGATAAATTTTACGGAAATTAATTCGTTCTCAGACCATAAAACTTGAAATTCACTCGGTACACTCTATGGAACTAGCCTCCTCACATGTGAAAAACGTTGTTTTGGGATGAAATTGGGATATAAGAAAATTACAATGTCGCATGCCGGCCGTGCAAGGCGGAAAAAGAAGCCACAATCCGACGTACGTATAACAATCGTCAGGCGGTGTTTCTGTGGGGCGGTGCATCTGACTCAACTCTTTGAATTCGCGGGCCGGCCGTGGTGGGCGGGGTCCCCGATCTGCGCGCTGTGATTGGCGCGCCAGAACGCCACGTGGTCAGTCGGCGCCGGGGAGTCTGCCAGCGCCGCCGCCGCTGCTGGCGACGTGCGGTTTCTATGGCGACGCGGCGTGGGAACGCCCGGCCCAACACTGGGGGTCTGCATGCCCTTTTTCGTAAGGCGTAATCAGGCGTTTTTTTATTCATTGTCTTCGTAAACCGAAGGCAACCTTCCCAAAAATCAACGTAATTCGCAATCAGTACATTAGCCGCAAAGCGTAAAAGTCGTAATCAGCTATGAAACTTTAACTTTATAGCGAAAATTTTGCGTAATTCGTAATCCGTAACCCCATGCAGGCCCTGAACACTGCGTGGCGCACGAAATGTATCAAAGTTTGAGGCGTAAAGAACTCTTGAATTATGCTTCGCCCCTGTTTTACACGATCGTTTAATCTCTCTTCCGTAACTCCATACGTCAACCTCCCCTATCTAGGAGAAAAATAAAGAACTCGGGTGGCGATTTGGCACGTCGATGCGTTTAGATTTTTTAAAAATTATATCTGAAATAGCGCAGGTCGGGTGACATCAAAATAAAGCCGTCCACGTCGCAAGGCCGGACACAAAACTTGTTCAAGAAGGTTGTATTACTTTGTTATCGTTCTGTACCTTATTAAGCCATCAGATTTCCGATATTAAAAAAAGAAATGTTTGGTTAAAAATACTATTTGCTCTACTGTTATTTGCATGCATTGAAAACATACTAAAACATGCACGCATCGTCTGCGTAAAAATCTGTAGTCAACGCGGTTCAACTTCAAGTAACAGCGGCGCCGGCCCTTCGGAAACCTAAGGTCTCACACCGAAGATCGGGGTTGCGGGAGAGGATTTCGTACCGCGGGAGATCCCGCAAACTCCCGCAGGAGATCCCGCAAACTCCCGCAGGAGATCCCGCAAACTCCCGCGGAAGATCCCGCAAACTCCCGCGTGATATCCCGCAAACTCCCGCGGGATCTCCCGCGGGACTTGATGCTTATCCCGAGATCTGTACTGTAGTACAAAGTTATAATTGAGAATAATGGCTTTAATGTTTTTTTTATATACTTCAGAATCTGTAGTAGTAGAGGTTCACCTTTGCAGCACTAATAACTGTGGCAGCGTACGACTGGATCCCATTGCCTGTCATCCCTCCTCGACTCTGATGCGTGGGGACCAACTGTGCAGAATATACATGTATTTATAGTACAGAGTTACCAAACAGTTCTGATCTAACATGCTGCAATATTTTTGAGAAATGATAGGTGGTGCTGCTGCACTAAGACATATATGGATTACCTTTTCCTTTGCACTATTGCTACTTTGTGACAGAATAGAGTCTGACCAATTTTATTCAGTGACAAGATGCACGATAACCCTTCTGATATGTTGACTGAAACAGTCCCTATTTCACATGCAATATCTTTCAAATATGATAGGTGGTGCTGTTGCACTAGGGGATATGGTCTGGATCTTTTCCTTTGCACTAAATTGCAAGACCAAACCAGTGAGAACCAGATCAAGGTGAAATTTTCTGGCCAATTTTCTTTAGTGACAGATTGCAAAGCAACTTCACTTACATAGTGAACACATAATTTTAAAATTCTTTCCAAATTTTTTTGGCTGCTTGCTAACAAAGCCATTTTGACAATTGTGTAAGCTGAATTGTGAAACAATGGCCGGTACAAGTATCACTATCGTCATGTACTGAAACCTACATAATGTACCTTTTTGTCTGCATAGGCCAGCCATCTTGTTCCCAGGGCCAGGGGGTTTATATGAGGCCCTGGGCAGGGGTAACAACCTGCAACAGACACAAACACTCAGACCTGGTCAACACAATGCGATGTTTCCATGCACTCAAACAAAGCTTAAATGGTTGGCAAATGTTTTAAGTTTTGCATTTGACAGTTCCTGCAACTTCTTTCTTTTGTCTTGTTGTATCTTCTCTCATAAAATAGATTGAGGGGGAAGTGATTACGAATTACGCAAAATTTTTGCTGCAAATTACGTTAAAGCCTCAGAGCTGATTACGACTTTACGCTTTGCATTTAATGTTCTATTACGGATTACATTTGATTTTTGGGGAGGCTGCCTACGGATTTCGAAGACTGAAAAGGCCTGATTACGCTTTACGAAAAAGGGCATGCGGGCCCCCTACAATATACATTGTATCTTGCAATTTCTTGGATCAAACAGAATTTTTAAAGACATAATGAATTCTCTCTTACTTGTTATCCAGAACCTATGTTGGAATGTGCAGGCATCAAAAGCTGCAACTTTTTCCTGTAGCGCAATTACTACAATCCTGCAGAAAGGAAGAGAACAGAGGAATCAGTCCTCATCTAACATGTAATGCCTTTCAAAGAAGATAGGTGGCACTGCTGCACTAAGTAGGGCTCTTACCTTTTGTTGAAGTGGATATCGTACACTTGGGACTTGAAGCCAATGGAATGAACCTGTTCTCCTGACTTCAGGCTGGTGAGGTGCACTGTACAATAAGGTTGTGTTGAACTGTGTACAAGACAGGAAAAAAGAAATTGTTAGGTGAAAAAAGGGGGCAATGTCAAAGATCAGATACAATGGGGGCCTGCATAGGGGGGTCCTGACAATGCTCTATGCTAAATTTTGAGAGCCGGCTATGTATTACGCTATTGTAACAGTAACGATTACGCTTTGCGATAAATTCCAAGTGGCTACAACGCATTACGTAGAATTAAAACACGAATTACGCTCTATACAAAATGCGCCAATTATGCTGTTCGTTGAATTAGAGGGTCCGTCTACGCTCAACGCATAATTAAAACGGCTGATTATGCTCTACAGAAAAAGGCACTACAATTTCTCTGGGTATACCCCTCTCAGACCTCTCAATAGTACAGCCATTGGGCATGAGGTTTCTGAAATTTCTCATGGAATGAATAAAAATTGTTTTTTGGAATGATGTCCTTTTGCCTTACCTTGATCCATCACACATAGCTATAAGTGGTCTCTTCTCTGCAAAACTATCCGACTGATGGTTCCCTATGGGTAAGGAGACAACAGAAAATGTTGAACTTCACATCAGATGAACAAGGTCATATTTCATGACAATATCTTTCATTTACATATCATTTATTTGAAAAGGTATCGTAGTAGGTACAAACCAGTCACAACCACAGTCACAAGAAGTCACAATCCAAACAGATACTCACAAACGATTATACACAACAACTGCCTAATAAAACAGCTACGGTAAAAATAAAGATATGTGCACCACCAAGGGTACGCCTGCAGACGACTTATAAAAATACATGCAGATTAAATGAAGGGAACCCTGTGATCTAGCTGCGAACACGAAAAAACGACAGTTGAAGTGCCCACAATACTCTGTCCGGAGGTCATGACCTCCTTCACGGAGTAACAATGTCTTCCACAGAAGACCTTCCCTGGAGGTAAAAACCCTTACAGAGCCTCTGTAGTTGGTCAAAACTAATAAAGAAAATCCAGCCGTCATTAGCGGTGACAATTTCCACTTACTGGGCCACTTACCTGTAATGGGAGTTGGTAGAACCCTAAGTACCCGGACTGGTCCCTGTCGTATTGACAGCACTTCTTGTGCCTCCCCAGAAGACTGGAAAAGGATAACATCAGCGTTACTGGACTGACACACCGTTTGTAATGTACTGCCACACTAGATGCATATCTCATGTACTGTCCACTTGAACAACACATAGGAGAAGCAACTGCAATTTGGGCAAATAACTTTAGTAGACTAATGGTACCCCAAGTAATCCTTAGGTTTGCAGCGTGCAAAATACCTGGTTGCCCAGTTGCCCCGGGCAACCAAATTTAACTTGGGGCAACCTATTTTTGAACCTAGGTAGCCCAGTGTGCTACCTAAATTTTAAGAATGCCCCCCACCCCCCTCGAAATCATGCCCACTTGGCTTGCACCTCTGTATCCGGCAGATGCTTTTTAATTTTAGGTATTAATGGCTATTACCAGTATCAGTTAACTAAAGGCTGTTAGAAATATTGTCAAAGGCTTATGTATGTAACATTACCTAATTTGACTTTTTTGAGGAAAGTAGTAACTTATACACATTGTAGGTGGGGCAACCTAAAATTCTGATGGGCAACCTAATTTTTTAATTTTATAAAGTATGTTATACACAGAATTTGTGACAGTGTATTAAAATTTGAATGTTAAGAGGAAAAAACATCATTGTATATATAGGTACATGTGAAATATTTCAAGTTATTGTGAAGTTCTTGTTTTAATCGCTATTATGAATTTCTCCATTTACATCTATGCATTTTACCACTGGCTGCTGGCTAGTAGCTTATATTACATGGGACATAAATTCCTCTCTGAACATTTGTGGTCTGTGGTTAGGGAATGCCAACCACTCAATTATCGAGAAGAGTAGGGGGGACCCAGTATGTTTGGCCTTAATAGCCATCTGTAGCAAAGCTACATTGCACTCAGTCTAGTAACCACTTGAAAAAGCAATATGCTTCACCTCAGTGGAGGATGACTGCTTTCACCTTTTTTTAGGCAAAGCCTAATAGATCTGTGGAATTCTATCTGTAGTATACAGAAAATGTACCTGTCCTATATTTCACAGCCTCATCAGTGACAGTTAGGTGGTTGCACCTATGAAATGCATCATGTCTCGTCACTGTCATGAGCTAATGTATACTGCTCATCTGGCAAATGTTTGGGGAGATACATGTAGGATTGGGACATTGAACGATCATCTTCCCGTGACAGTGCATATGAAGTAATAGGTGACTAGGGACTCTGTCATGTCTCTGGCAATCATCAGAGAACACCAGGACCACCGAACAGTAATTACTTTTGAGTTCAGTATTCCAGTTTCCACGTCAGCCTGCTTCGTTAAGCCTTTTGATTTATTTATTAACGAGATTTCATACCACTGGCACAGTTTATAATATTAGGCCACACCAATTTAATTTGTTGGTTCTCAAATTCGCCTCTTCAATTTTTTCTGATTTGCAAAAAAAGATTCTGCTTCTAAATCAACTCTGCTCATATTTTGCCGCCAACAGTTCTTTTCTTCCTAGTTGTTACACTGTTTTTCCATCTACCAATGCAGTAGTTTGATTAAAAGTTCAAAATTCATTGTTTAAATATTAACCTATCCTTTTGTGTTGACTTCATGGCTCCTATTGTAGCATTTTGGGCTACAATGGGATGCCTACACCTGTTTTTATTTTTATTTTTTTTTGGCCTTGTCGCTTCATATTTTCCCTGAAAAAATCAGAGAACCAACAAATTAAATTGGTGTGGCCTGACCAATGAAACTGCATATATACTCACTGGTAGGTTCCATATCTGTACCCCATTGCTGTAGCCTATGATGAGCAGGATGGGTGCCTCACTGCACCGGTGCTCTGCATATTCTGAGTTGTAGGAGATATCTGTGTGTGGAACAGAAAGGGCAAGGTGGAGTGGTTAGTAATCCTGCTTCTCGATCACAAGGGCGTGCGCTCAATTGTGTACAATTCAATGGGGGTGTGTTACTTTCATTCGATGACTTTCTCTCTCTATGAATGTTACTAAACCTATTTCTCTAAATCCGATTTTTTTTTTGGACAAACTTTTAATTACGGCACAGTTGCTGACAGGTATTTTCTAGGGAGCAAATACAACATATTTCACTCCATCTTCCTCCCCATTCCAAAATAGATTGCACTGTAATTAAGGCAGATTTGCTGACAGGTATTTTCTAGGGAGCAAATACAACATATTTCACTCCATCTTCCTTCCCATTCCAAAATAGATTGTACTGTAATTAAGGCAGATTTGCCGACAAATATTTTCTAGGGAGCAAATACAACATATTTCACTCCATGTTCCTTCCTATTCCAAAATAGATTGTACTGTAATTAAGGCAGATTTGCTGACAGGTATTTTCTAGGGAGCAAATACAACATATATCACTCCATCTCCCTCCCCATTCCAAAATAGATTGTACTGTAATTATGGCAGATTTGCTGACAGGTATTTTCTAGGGAGCAAATACAACATATTTCACTCCATCTTCCTCCCCATTCCAAAATAGATTGTACCGTATAAGGAACTCAAAATTCTGCATACAATTTTGGTTTGAAAATATCGGAGGCAACAAAATGAATAGAATATAATAAAAGTAGCGTATGGCAACTGTGAATGGGTGGTTTAACCCTATACAAATATCTACTAGTAGGTGCACCTGTGCACACACAGTTGAAAATTACATGTGAGTGCACTGTTCCAATTTTGCACACCCGCCCTGTTCTATACAAGAGAAATGGCATCTGAGTTCAGAATCAGCATTGGCATTTCTAGTAGGAAGTAGGCCCCATTAAGTAGACTTCCCCTAGGACGTTAACATGCGTTTGCAGTTACAGTAACTCTACTTTCTCCGTCACTTTACCGTTTACGTCAGTGCTCTCAAATCTCGCCCACACGATCTTCTCCCTGTCTTCTGTCTTGCTGCCACTGTAGGCCTGTGGGACTGCCTGGAGAAAGTCCACCACACTCTCCATGTAAGACTTGTCCCTGGGGAAAACACGAAAAAACATCCATTTTATAGAAAAACAAGAGTTTTGTGATTGAGTGTAACGTTCGTTGGTTGGGTGGCAAGAAGTAACTTGCATTTTTAAAACATTTCAACATGTAATCACAAGATGTGGTAGCAGCACACTCAAGTTTTTTTCAACTTATATTAATGCCGCCACCAACACAAGGGACAATACAATACTCATTTTCACCACACCAAAGTGAGGAAAGTCGTGTAAAGTGCCTTTCTCAAGGGTACAAGATCAGTGGCATGTCAGAACTCGAACCCGGGACCTCTTGGTTCCGAGTCGAGCACTCTGCCATTATGTCACACGACCCCACATGTGCATTTGTATCAGGGCTCAGGCCCATTAATATTGTTATGCCCGTTCTGTGTGTCGGGCCCATCTAGCACTCCTGTTTTTATCTGACCCTATTGTAACATTTCCAATTTAGCGTTTGCATCAGTCCAATTAAAGTCACCAAGGTTACCAATCAATTATTTGAGTCACACAGTTGTCACACTCACGCCACCTAACCAGCTATTCCCATCTTGGCCCTTGACCAACAAGCACAGTCTGTTCTACATGTTCCAACAGCAGAAGGCATTGGGAGATTCCATTGCTGAAGGGGGGTTTAGACTCTTGGAACACTTAACATTTTGGTCAGGGCTGATTTAGGAACAGTTCATTTGTGCGGGAGGGAGATAGGTCCATTTTTGGTACAGGGGATGTGGCATAACAGGCATAACAGATATACATAGTTGCTATATAATTTATTCACTTGAGAATCAGTTTTGCACTGGGATAAGTTTGGAATAGTCCACTTTTGCGTGGGACGAAAATGAACTGACATATGCTGTATTTGCTCCTAAGCAAATGTCAGCCTTTCTAGTTTAGTTAATAAGTTTAAATCAATGGTTTTGTAAGTCCTACAGTTTTTTTAACTAGAATCTAAACTACACCAAACCATTCAGAGTAGTTACACTAAAAAATATTTGTCTGAATATTATTTTATTAGCCCTGATATTGAATTCTGACTTCACAGGATGACAAGGTATGCTTGTGAATACATCTGGTATCTCAGTGGAGACCCATCAACTGCTAAGACCTTGACACAAGCACTTATCTGATCTCTTAAGATGAAAGAACTTAAGTTCTCCGGGGAGTTTTCTCTGAAGAAATCAAAGTGTCTTCTTGACGGGAGCTGCATAAGAATGGTTCTTTACAATTAAGGGATTTTGAGTGCCTTGAAGCTTAATGGTGAAATAACATGCACAGCTATGTTTTCTATTCACTTTGATATGGCTAATGTAATAAGGTACATGTAAGGCTAGATGAACTTAAGAAGACTTGTTCAATGGATACAGCACTGTTTAAAAATTGACAAGAAATGGAACATTTCATACCTCTGTGATATACTGTTATATAGAGTTTTTTTTGAATTTGTTGTTTTATTCATTAGGCCACACAAATTTAATTCGTTGGTTCTCATATTTGCCTCTTCATTTTCTTCTGATCTGATTTGCATTTGAAAAAAAGATTCTGGTTCTGAATCAACTCAAATATGCTCATATTTTGCCCCCAACAGTTAAAGAATTCAAGTTAGTCCTTTTCTTCCTAGTTGTTACAGTTATTCCATCTATCAACGCAGTGGTTTGATTTAAAGTTCAAAATTCATTGTCTACATATTAGCCCAGCCTTGTAATCAGAAGATTGACACCAACCATAAACCGAAGCTGGAAAATTTTGGCAAAACAATATCCATTTTGTTTGGGATCACCTTGAATTTGACAAGCTCTTGTGCACATGTCTGCTCAACCGTGGTGGATAACATCCTCAGGGCTGTTGTACCATGTATACTAATTACTCAAAGCCACACGTATGGGAAGTCAAGCAGCTCGTTTAGGCAACACCAATTTAATTTGTTGTTTCTCGGATTTTTTTAGAAAAAATATGAAGCGACAGGCAAAATAAAAAAAAACAGGCCAAGGCACCCTAGGCCTGTGATAGCCAGAAATGGTATAATATGAGCTATGATGTCAACATACCAGGCTGGTTTATAATTAAAACAATATATTCTGAACTTTAAATAAAACAAAGTTGCATTGTTACATTGAAAAACTTTTAACAACTACGTAGGAAGAAGAGGACTTTCTTCAACCGTTCAAGCCAAAATATGTCTTTTATTGTGCATTTTGCAATTGATTAGAACCTAATTTTTTTTTCTTTCAAATCAGCAAAAAATGGACAGGGCGAGTCCAAGAAACAACAAATTAAATTGGCGTGGCCAACATCTGTATGGATGGGGTCTTTTGAACCTGGTGTCTGTCCCCTATTTGTCATTTTGATGTAGACAGCACTGCTGCCATAGATCACCCAAGTTCAGCCCATCTATCAGTTTGGCTGGCATATAATGAATAAGGCTAATTCCCAGTTTTCTCTGCTTGACCCTGGCCTTGGCCCTGGGCCGCTGCATCAGCCTAGTCTGTGATGTACAGACTAATACATTACAGGTAAAAACTTTGGGTTAGGCCACACCAATTTAATTTGTTGGTTCTTGGATTCAACCTGTCCATTTTTTTGTGATTTGCAAAAAAAAAAAAAAAAATTTTTGTTTGTTCTAATTGAACTGCAAAATGCTCAATGAAAGACATATTTTGGGCCCAAGCCCCCAACGGTTGAAGAAAGTCCTTTTCTTCCCAGTTGTTAAAGTTTTTCAATGTAAGGCCACACCGACTTAATTTTATGGATGACATCCGCGCGTGCATTGATTTTCGTCTGTTCAAAATCTATTGTTTTAATTATAAACCAGCCTGGTACATGTATATCCGGCTATCATGGGGTGCCTTGGCCTGCTTTCTTTTCGCCCTGTTGTTTCATATTTTTTTCCGTAAAAATCCGAAAAACAACAAATTAAATTGGATGGGCCTTATAGGTAAAAACTTTGGGTTAATATTTCAGGGCTTGAAATACTAGATATACTGCACCATACGAAATGCACTGGTGCAGGTAACATCGAAAATAACCTAAGTTTTGCATACCAGACAAGGTTTACATGTACCTGCACCATTCAGAATTTATGAAGTCACTGGATCATACTGAAAACTGTTCAGAAACCATTGCCATTATTTCTTTTATACTTGTGGTATTACAGTCAATATACAGCAAATAGAATCCACATACACTTATAGTTATAAACCCAGTACAAAGACCAGTGCAAGTTAGGTGCAGGTTAGACATACAAGAAGTTAACCTGCACAGCTCCAATTTTACCTGCACTAACCGTCATATATGCAGGGGGTATTTCCAGACATATATTAGTACAAGCTTTGGGTCAATACGCATATACCATGATCTGGCATGCGGTAAAATGATTGATCATTTCAGCTTTATCTTTCAGAAACAGTTCTCTCCAGAATGTCAGATCATACGCACGTCCAAGTATGATTACAATCATAATGGATCGCAGTCGATGGGAACCCAGGAAACGCCCTCTTATGCTTGGAACAGTTCCATGGGAAAATCAGCCACACCAATTTGGTTCTTGGATTTCATTTAGAAAAACTATGAAGCGACAGGGCAAAAAAGAAGAAAAAAAAACAGGCCTAGCCAATTCCTTCAATGTACATGTACATGATAGCCCCAAATTGCAACAGTAGTTGAAGTCAATGAAGTCAATATACCAGGCTGTTTTATAGTTGAAATAATGAACTTGAAACTTTGACTCAAACCACTGCATTGATAGATTTTTATGGAACATTATGGAACTTGAAAACATCCCTAGGAATTTCTTCAACTGTTAATGTTAGAGCCAAAATATGAGTATTTTGGAGTTGATTCAGAACCTGATTTTTTTTGCAAATCAGACAGAATGAAACATGCAAATCCAAGAACCAATTGATTGAATTGGTGTGGCCTTAGATGAAAAACTGTGATAACTTGGAATACAAGGGCTTTCTTCAATGGTCTGGGACAAAATATGATCAATTTGGAGTTGATTCAGAATCTGAAATTTTTGTTGCACATCACAAAAAAAAAATTCACATCACAAAAAAATGAAGCGGGCAAATCCAAGAACCGATTGATTAAATTAGTGCAGACTTTAGAATGCATTTATCGGTCCATTTCCACCGCCAAATGAATGGGAGGAAAGATCAATGTTGTTCCACGTCCCTGGAGTACAGGTAACATTGGTATGGGTGGTTGGTACATCGGCTGGTATGTTGTTAAAACAAGTACCCCCAATGACCTGTGCATCAGACAGTTACACTAAATCTTAACATATTCGTTGTGGTTTTATTTGCACCATTTTTCCTGTACCTTTTTCCTGTGAATATTAGTGTTTTGGTGCTACAATCTTGTATTGACTGCTCAACTTAAAAACTACCCCCAAAACTACTGAATTCCACTCCTACTGCAAAAAGTATTCATTATTTAATTTAGATACTTGTGGCAATTTAAGCCAAGTTAAGTGTCACTTTTTTGAACCAGGTTGCCCAGTGAGCAACCTACAGCAAAAAATTAGGATGCCCATCAGAATTTTAGGTTGTTATGAATTAAGTAATGTTACATACATACATGTAAGCCTTTGACAATATTTCTAACAGCCTTTAGTTAATAATAGCCATCAATACCTAAAATTAAAAAGCATCTGCCAGATACTGTGGTGCAAGCCAAGTGGGCACGATTTGGGGGGGGGGGG